AAAAAAAAATCAAAGTTCTCAGAAGTAATCTTGTTTGATAAAGTAAATATAGAATATACCAACTGTTTCCTCATAGTTGAAGAAAAGATGTTAAGATTTTAACTTCTCTTAGTTAAAAAAAAAAAATTACCGTGATTTTACAGAATTGTTTAAATTACTACTCTCCCACTAGAAATGTGAAACTAATAATCCATGGCTCCTTTATTTCAAGAAACTATGCTCCATAGGCACTAAAACTAGGCCGAATTCCACTGAAATAAAAGCTATTTTTAAGGAGCGAATTTCAAGATTCAAATTTTATAACTAACACTAATAGTAATTTCTGAGTATATCTAAGTTATTCATTTTTTCTTGTGATTATATGCACAGATTCTTTTGGGGAGTATCTTTTCAGATTGCTCTCTTTCCATTAGAAATTACATAACCTGGCAGAGAAAGGGACACCTTTTTCTCCATAGTCATTATTTTTACATGTATTGAAAATAAAACGAATCCCCCATGAAAATGTAAATGCTACTTTAACCAAAAGAAACACAACAAAAGCTGTTAAATCATATGGCAGGGAGGGATAAATCCACAATATACACCTTTGTCAACATTTTTCTTACCCTTTGCCACATCCTTCTGGTCCTATCAGAATGAAGGGCTGTTTAGTATCAGAACTTAACCAAGGTTTGAAATAATCTAGACCTCGCTGCATGTCAGGAGTCCGAATGACTGGAAGAGTTTGGCTATTACTGAAATCATCAGCAGTCAAGTTTTCTGGCTTCTTCAGCACATAAGATGCTAATCGTTCTCTTCTGGAGTCATAGTAGGTGTCCATTGGTCTGTGAGAGTCTGGAGGAGATTCTCGTGCCCAATTAAAAACCTTAAGAGGAAAAAGGTTGTGATAGATTTTCACATACTCCAGGGTGTATGAAATGTTTTAATTCTTCAAAGTAAATGTCCCAAATGTGAATCACATTAGTTCAAAAAAAAGTTCACACACACTAAGCCTATTCTATAATTAAAGTAACATCTTATCTCAAATATTTTTCTTGAAATGACCATGTAAGCAAATGAGTAAAACTATATATAGAGGATAATGAGCTGGCAGATATTAATTCACACACCAAGATATAAATATATTCAATTTTAATGGAATGCTTATGAACATCAAATCACAAATTACAGAATGCAGAAATCCTAAAGCCCTTCATTTTCACCATATTTTGGTACTGCCCATTCCAGTGTTACTACCACTGCTCTCAACATGTTATTCTTCTTTCTAATATCAAAAACTGTTATCTGTGCAGGTATAAAGCAGAGTTAGCCCCTAATGCTACTCTTCAATACACTTATTCTGAACTTTGACAAGAGAGTATCTGCTTAAAAGCAGCACAGAGTATGGCATTGTGTGGTAACAAAGAGAAGAATCTGGCAACAGAGGAAACAGGATGACCACAGAAGGGGAAACAGAATAGAGAAAGCAATAAATGATGCTATCAAAGAAGCAAAATGGAAAAAAAGCTGGAATATAATACTGGAGCCAACACAAAGGAATACATGCTCAATTATTTCCACAGAGGCCAACTGGAAGAAAATTTCT